GATAGATAGATAGATAGATAGATAGATAGATAGATAGATAGATAGATAGATAGATAGATAGATTGCCCCCAAAAACTTTATTTCTACAACAAACATTTTTAGAATATTTGTTTCTATTACAGACACTATTTCCCTTTAATAACTCAAAAAACAAATAACTTTTAAACATTTTATAACTATTTTAATTAAAGATAACTTTATTTGATAATATTAAACAAAGAATTATCAAGTTTTCTAACAAATTTCGCATATACTGCACTTTTAGTATATTTCTCCTTCAAATGACTCACTTTTTCAATTCCAAATAGTATAGAGTGTTGATTTCTCATTTTTAAACACTTAGCAACAATAAAATGCTTAAATTTATACTAAAAACACAAACAAAAATAAACAAATAAATAAAACACAAACGACTGACTGGGGTTTTGCAAAATATAAACAATTAATATGAAAAAGACTGACTTGTTTTAAAGCATACAAATACAAAATAAAAACATTATTTTTGTTTAAAGAGAGAAAAAAAAAACATTTTTTCTTACGTACATGTTGTACAGTCACGTGAATAAGTTGTCTTTAAAACAAAAAGACCAGTTCTTTCAAAAAAAAATTATTAAATGTTATTGTTTTTTTTTTTTCATAAGAAAAGAAGCGTAATCAATATGAAAAACAAATGAGATCATTGGTAATTCTTTAAATTTCGTATAGATTTATTTTTGGTTACGTTTTCAATCATTTACAAGATATTATTGTGTGCAATACCCTTCACTGATAAGATTCAGGTTTATTTATTCATTAACATTTTGCCAGGAATTTAACCTTTTTGTTCGTATTGCTAGTTTTTGTGTTGTTAATTTTTATTAAATATTTTTTATTTATTTTGTGTTGTTACAAATACTTGTTTAAATAAAAGGAAATGTATTAAATTTATTTCCGCTTTATTATTGTTTGTAATAAAAAAATATATACATATTGAATTTCGGGGACAATTTCGAGACAAACTACACATTAAGAAAACTTTGAACTATTGATGAATATTTTATAAAAAAAAGTAATAAAAAATCTAAAAAGAGGAAAAGTTTATAATTTAGATTAAATTATTGATTCTAAAGTTTGTTAGGTTAGATAGATAGATAGATAGATAGATAGATAGATAGATAGATAGATAGATAGATAGATAGATAGATAGATAGATAGATAGATAGATAGATAGATAGATAGATAGATAGATAGATAGATAGATAGATAGATAGATAGATAGATAGATAGATAGATAGATAGATAGATAGATAGATAGATAGATAGATAGATAGATAGATAGATATTGTCTAGTCAATAGTATACTCAATAGGCTAGTCCATAGACTAATCAAGAGACCAATCAATAGTCGAAAGACAAGTCAACAGTATTGTTCAGAGATAAGGCAATAAACTAGTCCATAAATTAGTCAATAGAATAGTCAGTAAAGTAGTCAATAGATTAGAGAACAGAGTAATCAATAGTCTATAAATAAGTTAACAGTACAGTTCACAGACAAGTCAATAGACTGTTCAAAACACTAGTCAATAGGGTAATCAATGAACTATTCCATGGACTAGTCAATAAACTAGTCCAAAGACTATTAATAGACTAGTTCATAAAATAATAATAGACTAATCGATAGTCGAGACACAAGTCAACAGTATAATTCATAGACAAGCCAATAGACTAATCAATAGACTAGTGAATAGTGTAGTCCATAGACTAGTCAGGAGACCAATTAATAGTCAAAAGACAAGTCAACGGTGTAGTTCACAGACAAGTTAATAAACTAGTCAGTAGAGTAGTCAATAGTCTAGTTAATAAAATAGTCAACAGACAAATCAATAGTCTGTAGACAAGTCAACAGTATAATTCACAGACAAGTCAATAGACTAATCAATAGATTAGTGAATAGTCTCAATAGACTAGTGAATCGTCAGTAGTGTAGTCAATAGACTAGTGAACAGACTAATCAATTGTCTATAGGAAAGTTAACAGGATAATTCATAGACAAGTCAATAGGCAGTTCAAAACACAAGTCAATAAACTAGTCCATAGACTAGTTAATAGACCTGTCAATAGACTTATTAATAAAATAATCAATAGACTAGTCAATAGGCTATTTCAAAGACTACACAAAAGTCTTTGAAATGTAATTCAGAAATTGAGTACCATTGCAAAATTTTATCACATATTTTTTATAAATTTTAAAAACACAACCAAGTTACCTTTATTTATAAAAGAAAACAACATTATAATCAAATATTTTTTATCAGTTTTATTTGTTTGTTTATTTATTTTAGAAATGTATATTTTAATACTAGATCTTAAATTAATAGCCAACACGTGCCAGCACATTTAGTAAACAAATACACACACTTATACATTTTTACTACCTATTAAATTAATAATTCTATTTAACAATAAAATAAACAATAATAAATTTCGATTAAAATAAAAACAAAAATTTTCTATTCAACAGTTAATGATGGTCGTACTGCAGCTGTACCACAATATCGTGGTTTGGGTAGTGCTTTTGCCACCATTTTTCGGCAAGAAGGTTTTCGCGGTCTTTACAAGGGTGTAACGCCTAATGTCTGGGGCTCTGGTTCATCCTGGGGTCTTTACTTTATGTTGTAAGTATTATGGATTATATAAACTTTTCGAATTTATTTTAAAATTGTTTTTTTTTCTCTCTCTCTCTCTCTAATTACAGTTACAATACCATTAAGACTTTCATTCAAGGTGGTAATACCACTTTACCTTTGGGGCCCACTATGCATATGGTAGCTGCTGCCCAATCGGGAGCTTTAACCTTAATTTTAACAAATCCTATTTGGGTGGTAAAGACTCGTCTATGTTTACAATATGGTGCCGAGGGTAAAGGCTCTGAATATCGTGGTATGATACATGCGCTGGCGCAGATCTACAAAGAAGAAGGCATTAGAGGCTTGTATAAGGTACTTTTCAGAACTTTTAAGGGTTTTTTTTATAAAATTTTTAATCATTTCTGTTTTTCTTTCTAATTTATAGGGTTTCGTTCCTGGCATGCTGGGTGTTTCTCATGGTGCCATACAATTTATGACATATGAAGAAATGAAAAATTGCTATAATGAATATCGAAAATTACCAATCGATACGAAATTGGTAAGTTTTTTCCCTTAAAAAGATAATAACTTAGGTTCTTATCATTATGTTTAAGGCCTAAGAGTTTTAGTGTATTTGAATTACGGCTGGAAACCTTTTTTGAAATTGTTTCTGTTTTTTTGTTCTTTTTAAAAGCAAAATATTCCTTCATTTTTGCAGCAGTCTAATGTGCAAAATTTTGTTCATTTTAAACAATTTAATTTCAGGCGCTCTTTGCTTTCAATTATCACATGATTTTCTTGTGTGTTCGCCTACAAACTGTGGAAAGTTTCATGGGCTTTTCTTTTTATTTATATTATTATGTTGTGTGTGTTTTTATATTCAACATTTTCTATATTAAACATTTTTAAAATCTCTATGGATTTTTCCATTTGATTAATGTTTTTTCTTCTTTTTTCTCTATAACGCTATCGTTTATAATATAATTGCATTTATATTTTTATGATGACGAAATATTTTGCATTTGTTCCCTCATTTTTTAATGTTTTTATAGTATTTTCTAAATAAGCACAAGTAGAATGTCTGCTCTTTTCTTGGCCTCTTTTTTAATGTTTATCACATGACTTGTTCTTTTCTATTTACTATATAGATTCATGCGAAATGCTTTGTATTAAATTATAAATTTCGTCATTTATTTTATAATAAAAACAACAATTTATTTCCTTTCTTCACACTTATAATTTGTTTGGCTTTAGTCCAAAAAATATTTGTCTTTTCAAGTTTATATTTTACCGGTAAATTAAATAATTTGAAAGTGTACTTTTTCTGCGTCTAAAAACTAAAGATTTGGTTTTGAAAATTTCTTTTATTTTAAAAATTTTAAAGTTCGAAAGTAAAAAAAACAAGAAAATTTACTTCAAATAGAACTAAAATTATGTTTTTGTTGAATCCTCTTAGTCTAGAGATTATTTTAGTTGCATTAACATTTTTTCGAACATAACTTCGAATTTTCGAAATTAATTTCGAATTTTCGAACATAACTTAAAAAGCTTAAATTTTGAAACTACATTGAAAATACTTTAAAATTCTTCAAATTTTTAATATTTTTTTTGAAAATTTTTAACTTTGAAATAGAAAAATTTTAAAAATTTGCCCCAAAAAATATTAAAATTTTATTTTCTTAAATCTCCAATGATTATTCGCAAACAAGTTGGAATTTTTTAACAGTTTTAAGAATTTCAATGATTTTTAACACATTTAAAGCTTTTTCGAACTTAAGTTATAATAAAAATAGAATTTTAATTCGAATTTTCAAAGACAATTTAAAAAGCTTAGACAGCTTGATTTTAATGTAACTGACAGCTTGATTTAAATGTGACAGATTGATTTTAAATGTAACTTTAAACATTCTGCAAGGAGTTTACTTATTTTTTGTTAAAATTCACTTGCAATACCGTCTCCATAATATGTTTTCTTTTGCATTTTTCCGACCTCTTTGGTAAGGTAGTTATTTATCGAGGTCAACAAGTAACGATAGTTGCTGTCTTTTAGTTTATGTTCTGCTGACAGCAGCACCAGTTGTAATTAAGTACTAAATAAAAATCGCGTGACAGTTTGTAATATGACTGACCTTAATGTCTTTAACTTAAGCACTTTACAAAAATTAAAGTTATAAATGTATAAATGGAATATTTATATTTATAACAATTGTTCTAACTTTTCTAATTTAAAAAGCAAAGAATTTTAAACTAATCTAAACCTTCAATTATCGTAATAAAGCACAGCTTTGGTAGTATAAACAAGGTTCTCAAAGTGCTAACCGGCATCACCAGGGGTATGGATAAAGAAACCTTATTGGCAAATCTACTAAACAATTGTCAGGTCAGTTGTTGTAACCGTTCGACTATGGTCAATAGTTCTTTCTTGGGAAAAACATTCAGTTGATACAGCTGTCGCTGAGTTGACAATCTTTCGCCGAATACGGCTCAGGTCGATCCGGAACGATGATCCAATTGTCGTGGGAACGTGAGAGATCAGTTGTGCATGCAAAAAACCTTACACAGTTGAATTTTCTTCAGGGGCATGTACGGAAGGACCTCTTTGTGTATACTAGGAGAGCATACGAAATTATGTGCAGGATCGCTTATTCGTATATAGCAGCTTTGAATGACATTCATAGAACGACATCAATACCATGGTTTCAAGTTACCACATGAATGTCGTACTTTATAGTAGAGATAGGGAAAAGCCAACTGCGGCAATGAAGAGTTGCTATGGCATGTCGTAGAACGGGTTAGAACAACAGGCTCAACGCCTACTAGTCTCTTCATTATTTACTCATATATACGACTGCATAGCCCAAACTACTTCAAGATTCTCTTCGGTATCTCGAACGTTTCAGATGATATAACGTTTCAGATGATATAAAAATATTTGTAAATAAAAGTGTTTTCGTGCAGTAAAAACGAGGTTTATTCAAACTTTTTGACACTATCTTGAAAACCTTATGTGATGGACCAATTTCGTCTTCAGCGCAGCTCAAGCCTTTGGAAAAGTTTATTCTAACAAATTTGATTGATTGTAGTGTAAATCAGAGTTTTGAATATTTTGGCATAAACCGTTGTAGACTTGTATAGTTTGGAAAGTTGTTTGTTTCCAAATATGAGTAGGTGTAGTAAATCACATCTCTTTTGATTGTATTTTTGCTTGATTTGGAAATGGAAATAGGTCAATTCTCAAGGGGTTTCATCACGATGATGTCACGAATTCACTCGTCCCTAGTTGGTAATTCCATCAAAAGTGTTTCCCCGAAGTCTAGACTCCAAAGCTTCGCATCGCTTGTAGCAGGCACTCTGACATCAGCCTTAGACTGCTTTTATCGAGTTCTAGAAGTATCTTGGTAGACCTCACATCAAGTATTGCCTATAAGGCCTTTAAACTTGTTGATGATGTCACGAATTCACTCGTCCCTAGTTGGTAATTCCATCAGAAGTGTTTCCCCGAAGTCTAGACTCCAGAGTCGTAATAATATGTAATTCCGCAAGGGGAGTTAACATGATCGTAGACCTACTTCGTATAGAATTTTTGTATGATTATCGGGTGAAGATTTGACTAACGAAGACTCATAGAGTGTTAATAGATTCCTAGCCGCCACATCCGCTATAAAATGTTCTATAGGTGACAGCTAAACAATGAAATGGAGTATTTCTAATGGCACTAGTAATGCCAAGAGAGGTCACCTTTGAGTTTTATTAAGCATCTTTCGATAACCGTCTTTTGTCAAAGCCTCACATCAGATAATGCAACCATTAGTTAGAATAGGCCTGACAACCGATGTATAAATCCAATTTACTGGTTGCAGGTCCCAATTATTTCCTATAGAATTCTTGCCTGAGCCCTTTTTTCAATCTTTCCTGAGTATTTTATTACTTTAAAAACATTACAAACAACAAATAACAACGGTTATTGAACTTTTGTTATTTTCAGGGGACTTTTAAGTTTAAAATAAAGGTTGTGTGTTATGACCGTTTTAAGAATTGCCTGATAAATATAGATTAAACAAATAAATACCAACGATGCCTATAATAAACAAATTAACAATGCTTAAAGTAAATAAATTAAATGAAATTAATTTATTATTAAAACCTTAAACAAAATACATACAAAATTTGTAAATTATAATAAAACATATAAATTTCAACAAAATTTCTTGACAATTTGCAAAATGTTTACTGTTGTGTCTAGTTAATTTATTAAAATATGTATCGCTATCACGTTGTATGGCAATGACCACTTAGCTTATTTGTTATTAGTTTATTTTAGCATTTTATTTTGTGTTCCTACCTCATTCCGTTACGTATCTATTTCACTTTTAATAAAAACAAATATATATTTTTTATTTAGTGTTCGTAAAAGTAATTGTTTTTTTTTGTGAGGCAATAGTTTGGTATTATATATATTAATATTTTATTCACAGAAAATAAATGTAGTAATAATTGCCTTTTTAGTTTTAGTTTACAATCATTACACGTGCCGTTGATTACAGTTGTTGTGAGAATTTTCTAGTTTTTTTGTCAAGTATTATTACTTGATAGTACTTGATTAAAATCAGTTTTAATAAAAGTTTATCAACTATTTGATAAAAAAAATTATGTTTCTTGGGAAGTGGAAAATACTAGTATCAGCTGGGTGTTTGCTCTAGAAGCTTAATACATTGTCTACAATTGAAATAATGAGCTTTTTCTTGGAAAAAAGTAAAATTCCTATAATAAAATTTATAGGTTTTGTTAGGAACTTAGGAAAAATTACTTTTACAACTAAAACAAATACTAATATTTAATCTTCTCTTCTATCATACTTTCAGGCTACATCGGAATATTTAGCTTTTGCAGCTATATCCAAACTAATAGCAGCTGCCGCTACTTACCCATATCAAGTTGTAAGGGCACGTCTACAAGATCATCATCATAATTATCGCGGAACTTTGGATTGTATTAAACAAACATGGAGGTACGAACGTATGGGTGGTTTTTATAAAGGTCTCATACCATATTTAGTGCATGTCACACCAAATATTTGTATGGTCATGTTAATATGGGAAAAATTGACCAATTAGTTAAATCAAACATAGACTAGAAATATCATTTTTTTTAAAACAACAAATTTCTCTACTACAACTACTGCTATTACTCTTAAAAAAAACTAAATATATTAATATAAAATTACAAGAGTAAAACAAAAACAAAAGAAATAAGTAAAGAATCTTCAATGCAAAATAATTAACCAATTAAAAGAAGCATAAGTTTTTTTTTGTCTAAATATTAAGTTATAAATTTAAGAAGAAAAAGAAAAAAATTGAAAGAAAAACAAAAATACTTTATGAAAATTAAGACAAAAAGAAAAAGTAAATCATAAAAACAGATTTCTGGTTAGAAGCACAAAAAAACGAAATCTGTTAAACTGCAGCATAAAAATGACAAGCTCTATTTTTTTTCAAGAGTTTTAATATTTTATACAAAAACTTATTTATAATAATTTATTAAAGTTTTATTAAACTTTAATAAATTATTATACTTAAGTCTTCTCTAACAATTTATGTATTACTGTTATTATTATTTTTTTTTAATTTTAGTTTTTGTTTTTAAGTTTAGTTACTCAATCTCAAGTTTTTTTTCTACTATTTTTTTTTAATAATTCCATGAACGCTAAGCGCCTGAATTTATCATATATTTGTAATTTTATTTCTCTTAGCCACTAAGTCTTGTCATAAATTCCTCAAAAAATTTAGTTGTTTTTTTTCCTCTAATTTTTTTGGCTTTGGAATTGTGTTCTATTTTATCTAAATATATACACTTGTGATAGAAATTTTGTTTTAAATATTTCTTACAAATTGCTTAACAAATTTACTTAAGTTAAGTTTAAATGTCTTAAAGAATAAGTTTAAATTATGGAAATTCAACATTTTTGGAAAAACGTTGAAATACAGAGTGATGAGTAGAAGTTGTTATAGTTCAACTGTGTGGCTGAAGAAGACAGTTACCGCTTAGTTGTTACTCTTTGGCCGTCTATGTTCGAACAATTTCACTTTTAAATTGTACAATAATTTCTTCATTCAATCAATTGCGTATATTTTTGTATTGGTATTGAATTTCGGCGAAGCTTACAACGAGCGAGAGCGTTATTTTATTCCAAAAAACTTTTAAGTTAAAGAAAACTTTGTGTAATTCCAAGTGATTATTGTGAATTTCGATTCGAACGAAAACCTTTTTGAAAGTCATGGTATAAAGTATACAATTTCGAATGGAAGAAGAGGAATTCGAATTGAAATTTCAAAATGTGAATTTCGATTTGAACGAAAACCTTTTTGAAAGTCATGGTATAAAGTATACAATTTCGAATGGAGGGGGAGGAATTCGAATCGAAATTTTATAATTTCAATATCCGAGAAATAGCTGACAAAAGCTTAAAACGCCAAAAACCAAGTATACTTCTCAAAAGCATAGATGTACGATAAATACTAAACTGAAATCTCCATCACAGCAGCTTTTAAAGATATCTTGGTTTAACGATAGAAAACTTCATGTTTATCGCCATATTCGAGACGGTATAGCATAACTAAGTGATAAAAGCTTTATTTTGAAGTCAATAGATAGGACCTTCAGACAGCATAGGATGTTTTCTAAATAAAGTTTTCTTCGCTTTGGTATAAAGTCTGGAAGTTAGCGAAATACGATATTTGTGTATTTTAAGCTTTAAATTAAGTTATCTTAAGAACCTGAAAAATTCATGTTTTTCGCCATATTTGAGACGGTATACCAAAGCTAAGCGAGCTTTATTTGTAAAAGTTTCTGAAAGTTTTATTCTTTAGCTTTAATATCAAGTTTTAACCTCTGTTTTATCTTGTTCTCTTTATAAGATATCTTAAAGTAAAGTTTGAAATACGATACCTACAATAAGGAACGGACTATAACAGAAATGAAAGCTTTATTTTAAAGCCAATAGATAGGACCTTCAGGCAGCATAACATATTTTCTAAATAAAGTTGTCTTCGCTTTGGTATAACATCTGGAAGATCGCGTTTTAAGCTTTAAATTAAATTATCTTAAGAATCTGATGTGATTAGAGAAATTCTGAGGTCAGATTCGCATTCAGCGTAGATCAATCCTTCAGAAAAGTATACCTTAGTACCGGATTTAAGACGACTTGGCGCTTTCATAACGTCTTGATTATGGCGAAAATCGGGAATTTTTTCAAACTTTCATCTAAGATATCTTTAAAACCTGATGTGACAAACAAATTAGATCTGTTTCGGATTCAGCTTAGGTCAGTCCTTTAGTAATATACATAAGTACCGGGGTTTTGGACTTCGCTTTGGTATAACGCCGAAAACAGTGCTTTTTCACACTGTAGGTTAAGATATCTTGAAACCCTGATGTGATAGGTAACGGCCCGAGGTCATATTCGGATTCAGTGCAGTTTTAGTCCTTTAAAAAAGTAGACTTTACACTCTGGGCTAAAAATTTGTTGTGATCTCTGTATTCAAACATCTTTTTAAGCAAAATTGAGGTTGGAAATACAAACTCGAGGCCTCTTGTTCAAAAAAGCATTAACATGTTTTGCCATTGAATAACAACAATAAACGATAATTGAAATTCTGAAGTAAAACTTCTAAAGTTAAGGTTTTCTCTAAAGAAATTATTGTTTTTTTTTTGTTTTTTAAATTTATTTAAAACTTTTTGAAAATTTTTATAAAAAGAAGAGAAAAAATGTAAACTCAATACAAAATTGTTTATATAAATCCAGGTATTGTTTAAAAATTGTACAATTAATGTAAAATATTAGAAAATAAGAGATTTATAAACTAATTTTTAAAACTACAATTTCATAATTTTTCCATAATTTAAACTTTATGCTTAGACATTTTTAATTAACAACAAATTTTTATTATTTAAGTTTCAATTCGTTAGAATTTAAAACAAGTTTAACCTTTAAACCTTGATATAGTTTTTATAAAATTTATTATTTTTTTCAAAACTTGGACTTTAAAAGAATAAAATTCTTTTTTTGTTTCCTGTAAACCTTAAATTTAAGTTATAGTTTAGCAACAAAACAAAAAAAGTAATTTAATTTATTTAAATAAACTTTTAACTACCAGCAGTTTTCTTAGATATTAAGCTTAAAACAACAAAAAAAAAATATACTTATAGAAAAACCTTTAAAACTTTTTTAAGCATTTAAGGCTTTTTTCATAAAATATCATTTAATCTTAAGTAAAATTAAAAACAAAATGTTCTACAAAACAAAAAGAAAACTTAACAAAAACAAAAAAAAGATTAATTAAACTTTCTTTGGCAAAAAGATTATATAAGTAAAAAAAATTATTGTTAAATGATTAGAAATAACATACACGAAATATTAGTAACAACTTATTAAGAAAAAAAAAAACCAAACAAAAAATCATAATAAAAAAATGTTGTACTAGTTATTTGTTGTATATTTAAAACACAAGTATACAATACCAACAATATGTATGTAAAAACATTACATATTTTATAAAATATTATTTACATTTTAGTTTTTTTATTTTTGAATATTTTGAGTGGGATTTTTGAAACATAAATTTCTGTTGCTTTTTAAAAGCTTTGTGTAAAGTAAGTGTTTAAGAAGAAATTATAATTATTTTTTTCTACTAACCTTAAAATATTTATAATAATAATTTATTTAAGTTTGAGGTTTGTATTCTAAAAAACCTGTGCCTTTTCTGTTCGATTGTTTTACTTTTTTTCTCTTTTTGCTAAATGAATTTTAACTAATTTTTTTATTTTTGTGGTTTTCGTAAAAGGAACTATAACATAACTTTAAAAAAAAACACATCATCAAAGAAACTTTAATTAAAAGTAAAGCAAAAAAAAAAAAACCCAAAACTCGTTATCACATTTAAGTCAAATTCATTGTCGTATGTAGAGTGTGTAAAAAAATAAATAAATCTAAAAGGTAAGCATTTTGTTCAAACTTTGCTAATGTACAAATATCACTTTTCTTATTGTCTCATTACAGCTATGAAGGTCCCATTGGTTTTTATAAAGGTTTGAAGGCCAGTCTAATCAGAGTAGTGCCCGCCACTATGGTTACATTTTTAGTTTATGAAAATGTCTCGTATTATCTATTGAAACGTTCCAAAGAGAAGAAGCTAGAGAAAGAAAGTTAATTTATATAATTCCCACCAATAACGCTAACAAATACCTCTTTTTTGTTTATTTTTTAAGCAGCTGTTTGACCAAATTTCTTAAGAATATGTTTTTAAAACCATTTTGTCCTTATTGTTTATTAACCAAAGTTTGCCTTGAGCTGTAAATTATTATTTAATTTATAAAATCACTTATTCTAAGATTTCTACTTAATTCTTACTAACTTATTACTATAAATCATATCGTTTTTGCTGATATGTTGAGTTTTTTTTAATTTGATTTGTTTTTGTTTGTTAATTTTAATTTTTCTTTAAAAAAAACTTGAAGTCGTCTTATTTTATATATTTTCATATAAAAAAAACTTGGAAAAAATCTTAATAAATAAAAGATTTGTTAAAACTTAAAATCAGCCATTAGTTGTTGTGTGTTTTATTAATAACTTGGTAACATATTAATATAAACTCTTTCGTCATTCTCTTTGTTGATTTTCCAGCTCTTTAACGGACTCGGTCGTTAAATTTCCTGCTGTTTAACCTTCAAAATTATAGTATACCTTAAGGCTTTTATAAATAACATGCTTAAAGTATACTAAACAAAATCAACGTCTATTAGTTTAAAATAAACGCCTTACTGTATGCTGTTTTTTGTTTTGTTTATTTCCTACCAGGCATGGAAAATTCAGTACTTTAGTACTTTTTGATATAGAAAAATACTGCGGTACCCCCACGACTTTTTCAGTACTTTTTCAAATTTATAAACTTTTGATAAGTAATCCACATAAGTAGTCAGTCTATATAAACTATAGAAAGTTCTATACTATAGACTGGTCTATAGTCTGGTCTATAGTCTAGTCTATTGTTTAGTATATTGTCTAGTCATTATATTATTAGTATATTGTCAGTCCATACTCTATTCTATAGTCTAGTCTATTGTATAGTCCATAGTTTAGTCTACAGTCTTGTCTGTAGTCTAGTCTAGAGTCTTGTCTATAGTTTAGTCTACAGTCTAGTCTACAGTCTTGTTTATAGTCTAGTCTATAGTCGAATCTATAGTCCAGTCTTTAGTCTAATGTATAGTAGTCTATAGACTATTCTATAGTCTAGTCTATAGTCGAGTCTATAGTCTAGGCTATAGTCTAGTCTATACTCTAGTCTATACTCTAGTCTATACTCTATTCTATTGTATAGTCTAGTTTACAATCTAGTCCATAGTTTAGTCTATAGTCTAGTCTATAGTCTAGTCTATAGTCTAGTCTATAGTCTAGTCTATAGTCTAGTCTATAGTCTAGTCTATAGTCTAGTCTAGTCTATAGTCTAGTCTATAGTCTAGTCTATAGTCTAGTCTTTAGTCTAGTCTATAGTCTAGTCTACAGTCTAGTCTATAGTCTAGTCTATAGTCTAGTTTATAGTCTAGTCTATAGTCTAGTCTATGGTCTAGTCTATAGTCTAGTCTATAGTCTAGTCTATAATCTAGTCTATAGTCTAGTCTATAGTCTAGTTTATAGTCTAGTTTACAGTCTAGTCTATAGTCTAGTCTATGGTCTAGTCTATAGTCTAGTCTATAGTCTAGTCTATAGTCTAGTCTATAGTCTAGTCTATAGTCTAGTCTCTAGTCTAGTCTCTAGTCTAGTCTATAGTCTAGTTTATAGTCTAGTCTATGGTCTAGCCTATAGTCTCGCCTATAGTCTAGTCTATAGTCTGGTCTATGGTCTAGTCTATAGTCTAGCCTATAGTCTAGTCTATATTCTAGAACATAGTTTAGTCTATTGTCTAGTCTTTAGTCTAGCCTAGTCTATATTCTAGTCTATGGTCTAGTCTATAGTCTGATCTAGTGGAAAATAAGTTTAGTAGTTTATAACCTAAAACGCGCTATCTTTGTTATAAGTTGGTACTATTTCAAAATTTCAGTTTTCCATGCCTGTTTCCTACAAACATCACGTCATATTGTTAGAATTCAACTTTATTGATTGATGTTTTTTCGCTACTAAAGGCTTATTATAGTTTAATAACAATTCGCATGCCAAAAGGATACAATTTTTGTACACCTAGGCCTGCGAAAATTCAGTTCGATTTGAATAGGTCAAATCAATTGATTGACGTGAACTTGTGCTGGAAACAAAAAATTGTTAAATTGCGTTAACTTCATATGATGTTATATATATAATTAATACAATTACGATCGAAAGTGGAATTATTTTCGTATTTTTCACAAAAAAAAAAAAATCGGACTAGACATTTTTCGAAATAATTTTATATAATTACGCAGTAAGTATGAATGGGAAATTGATACAGCAAAACGCCGAGAAAAGATTAAGTTTAATCGTTCGAGGACGTAGAATCTAACGTGTATTAATCGGTTAAGAATCATTTCAAACAAAGTTTTATATGGACGTTATGACACACGAAAAAGTTTCATAGAGTACACGGACGTTATGACACTTTCAAAAGTGTCACAATATCCATGAGCGTAGTGACATAAAGTCCCTAAATAGTACTTTTATCAAGAAAGGGCTTAATATAGCAAAGTCGATACTGGAAATAGACCAAAGTTTAAAACCTCGCGAACTGCTGGACATTATGATTAGTATTCAAACAACAAACGAAGTTCATAACATAACATAAATAACTTTTATATGAACATAAATCCCACCACCAAATGTTTGATGCTAGCCGCCGTAAAAGCCTCTTTCACAAAGGTTTACGTTTCCGCTTTTAGTTACGCAACGATATAAAAAAGCTATTACAACAAAAAACGAAATCGTACGAAAAAGAAGAAGCGATTCCATTTCATTTCAATGCTTTACGATTGTGTTTATTCTGCATTACGATCGTAAGGCCTGTTTGCTTGCCCATAATGGAGAATAGGAGTGAGCAACGTAGCTGCAATCGTAAACGAAATGGAACTACTTTCAATTTTTCTTTCGATTGCGTTTTAGGGTAAGTATTAGGAAGAAAAATCTAATTTTTATGATACTGAATTCTGTACTTGTCATAACGAAGATGAAGATGTGATGGGTAGTCCATTTTCTTGTAATAGTCCAGCTCTAGAAACTATACGTCTTCAGATACTGGTAAAGGACAATTTTTCGGATCTCTTCAATGCTCGACTAGAACGATTAAACTTATTCTTAGGTTTGCCTCTCTTCTCTGTAACTCTCTGCCTTTCATTAACTCTGTCTTCTGAAACTTGCCTATTTTCTTCTTATATCCTACTACAAAGGATCCAAGTTGAGCTGTGGTACTCATCACCCCATAACTGAAGACTTTACTTTTTTGAGCATCTACTCTAATAATTAGTCTATGGAATAGTCTATTAAATAATCTATGGTCAAGTCTATGCACTTGTTAAGCCTCAAAACAAACCGTCGATACCGTGAGACCAAAGTATATACACATTTCTAAAGGATTACACGATCTATTATAACGTCTCAAATGTTCTCAAAAACACACATTCCAAAGTTCGCTGTGCGACAATGTAAATTAGAACAAAACAGCACTATATTTAGATGAAACACAAATGTCGTTTTCGAAAAATAAAGAAGGATCGTTTTCAATCGGCTTAACTATAACTTCTTCAAAAAACAAAGAAGGATCTTATAGAAGCCGTTGCTATCGTCTTAACAATAACGAAGTTAAGATTTCTTGATTTCTGCTATAAAATCCAAATATTAAGAATTGAAATATCGAAAAAATCAGAATTTCTTACAGACTTACAGTCAGCTTAACTAGAGAGCGAATATTTGGATAAATTTGGCAGTCAGGCAGAAGTGCAGTACGAACGGCAATATCAATAACCAAATAAAAACATGGATATCGGAAAAAATTTGACATGAATACATTCTTCCGCTTATAAATATCGGTATTATTATTAGTATTCCGACAAAATTTTATTAGAGACATATTACGTTTTCTTCAAGTTAAAAATCTGTTCAATAAAGGTGCCTCCAAAACTTAATATTCCAACCCTGACTGCATGTTAGTAAATCAGCCTACTCTGGCAACTCTAATAATATTCGTTTATAAAAACCGTTACAAAATCTATTTATAAGGAAATTTACATGTAATTGTAATATTTTGCAAAAGCAAAGAAAACAATAACAACAATATTAATAAAAAAATCGTGATAATTAAAACATTACTGTCATTTTATTAATTTGTTTTTGCCTGTCTTCACTTTTACTGATTATTGTTATTGCTATATTTTTGTTATTACTGCTCTGGTACCAGTGATAAGAAATATGTACATGAACACACATACTGAAAATTATTCTGAAACAAACGAGACGAGCAAATTCTGGAATTTCTCTATTTTTCAATTGTGTATTATTTATAAATAAAATTTGTATTTTGTTTATATTGATTTCATTTGTAGCAAATATAATAAAGAAGTACAGTTTATTTGAGCTTTTTAGAAACAATTAAATTCATGATTTTGTATTGTTTCGTTGGCCTTTTCTTGAACTAAAACAAATTTAATGCATTTTGCAAAATAAAACAAAACAAAATATGCGATAATCTTAATTTTTATTTTGGTTTTATTATGGCCTCCGCCATCATTAGGTGATAAATAGCGATTATTTGGTTTTAATATTTTTTGAATGTGTGTTAATGTGTTTCGAATCGAAAAAACATGATTTTAATAACATTTTATGTAATTTTAAATAAAATTCCGACAGCCAAAAAAGGGGCGTAAATCCTTTTTTCTATAGAGTCGAAGGTACTATTCCGAA